GAAGTTTAAGTTTAATTACCGGGAGATATGCGCCTCGTGCCAAGTTTGCCTCTCTCATCTCACGAGCGCGCGGCACTTGTAAGTGACCGCGCGACGTATTGAGGTGCTACGGCTTCGAGTTATGAAATTTCACAGGATACATTAGCTCGGTTTTCAAGAAGTGGCTTGCCGGGGAACGCCGACGGGGCGCGAATATCTTAATATTGATGAAAGTACGCGCGCGCACGAGCCCGACAGAAGGGTAGATTGAGGCGTTGACTGAAGGTACAAGGCACATTTGCACGAAAACTCTACCTCGTGCAAAAGTCTCGCTTTGGCTTTATTTTGCTGGCGCGAACCCACCGTCGCGTTAACCCCAAGACTCGATTAACGCTCGATGGAGTCACAGTTTCGCGCCGGCGAGTTTCTTGTCGGGTAAAATAAAGCGATATTCAATTTAGATACTTTTCGCGGACGCGACAAAAGGCACGATCCTAGAATACATCGATAGCCACTCCGTGAAATTCCTTGCAAGTTAATACTGTCGAAATAGAATAAGAGAATCGAGTAGTCGTCTGTACCGCAAGTGTTTTTTTTTTCTTTTTCGTCTTTTTTTTTTACGCATTGTCCAATCCGGTTGCGAGAAATAGACTCGATGAGGCGTAGAATCGATGAACTTGGTCGGCGAGAATTTCTCGTCGAAATTCCGGGGAAGTGAGAATCTTGACGGGATCGGAATAATAAGAGCCCTTCGGTATTAAATTAATTTAACTTGGGACAAAATGGTGGATATAGCGGGAGCGGGAGAAATTAACGTAGGCAACGTAACTTTGTTCCCGGCTCGTACATAATTTATTTCACGGCTGATATCTCGGCGATAGAGCAATTCAAACCGCCGCGCGTACACCTGCTCGTTTTGCACGTAACCGCACTCGCGGCAATAAAATATTTTCGCGCGTGATTTAAGCGATTTCCTCTTCTTTCGCACCGAGAGACCCACCCTTCGGGCGGCGCATCGCCGGGGATTTACTCCTCGTAAATGCTCGCTATACGAACTAGACGGGCGGGATTTCAAAGGGTTAATAATCGACTGCAGAATCGTAGTGGATAAGCATCGATTGAAGACGTCGCTTGATCGCCCTCGTTAATGACGATCGGAAAGTTGCGCGCGCGCGCGCGCGCGCGCCATAACGCCGATCGATACTAACGAGAAGTAATTTCCATCGAAATAATCCGAGGGGAGAGAAAGCACCATTGGGGCGCGCGAGGACGGAAAAAAAAAACGAGGCGAAGAATGGATCGGACAGAGGCGCGAGCGAGGCGCGACCCTTCGGAAAGGAGGAGCGGTTGGAAGTCGCAAGGTCGCGCCCCGGCTATATAACGAGTTCGAACGAGCGGAATCGGCTGACACTGGACTGGATAGACAAAGGAAGACGGAGAAAAATAAAGGGACAGTAGGAGCGAGACGACGCGATCATCCGTCCGGAATTAAATTGGCCGCGGGCGAAATGCTCGCGAGCCCGTGAAATTACCATTTTGAAGCCGCAACGCTCTCTCAAAGCCGCTTTTTTGCGCGAGCTGATCTCGGTCTTCTTATTAGCGGCGTTTCACGCTCGCTTTCCCGAAACCTGCCGGCATCTCATTCGCCGGCAGATGATACACGCCGTAAGTGTCAATCGGACGCGCGATCTTAGAGATCCATTCTGACCGGAAAGGTTCATCCTAAAAATTAGCCGCCTCGGAAGGCTGCTTGCTGTCACATTCGATGAGCTTTCCTCCTCCTCCTCCTCCTCCTCCTTTACCTCAACCCCTCTTATTCGCTCGCGGGCACTCATCGCTGAATGTCGAAACGGGCAGATCGCGTTGCCGGGTGAAAAATATGCGCTAACGCTTGCGCACAACTGGACAAATGCCGATCGAAGAAAACGGGCGAATGGTCTCGCGTGTGCAACGTGGCGTGCGTGAGGATACTTGAGTTAGCTGATGATTAATTAGCAATTAACGAGGATCCTCACGTTTGAGGATACACGATTAGGCAGGATGTAGAAAGAGGTAGTTTTTATCCGGATGCATCCGGAGCGCTGTGAAAATTTGGACAGGTTCCGCTCTAATCTCGGCGAATGGCCAGCATTAATTAAGCGCTTTCCCGAAAGGGTAAAGCTTTCTCTCGTAGGACGAGTTACCGCGAGGTCGGGCTTAAGTTCTAAAAGGATTCGCAGTGAAATGAAACAGAAAGGCAAGCAAAAAGAAGGAAAAGAAAAATGTTACCGAGAGCGAAGGTGGAAAAAAGGCGACACCGGTTGTGTCGTATAGCTCGTTGCTTATGCGCGTTTCTCGCTTGGTAGAGCGCGACGAGGTAATGCGTGTAAACGTCTTCGAGAAAGCTCGTAATGCTATAAACCTGCAGCCGCTCAGTCCGATGCACAACGGAAAAGTTCGACCTGATTAGTTAATTCCGGTGACGACTCGCACAGAAAGATCCGCCGCAATCTTTTACGGCGGATATAAGCGGCCGGTGTAATACGCTGTAATAAAGCGATTTACTCTCACCGTGCAATTTATCTCCGGCATATTATAAAAGATGTTAGATTAGCGGGGGTGGTTTTACATAGGAGTGAATGAGGACCATAATATCTGGGAAAAGTGGAGCTTGCGAGAGCTTCTTCGGCGCTCTCGTGATCATCGTTACTGGAGCACGAGTATATTATATATATATATATATATATATATTCGCGGCTGAACACTTTTCTCAATGCGAAGCTCGATCTTTCAGTTTGACTTGCTAATTCTTAGAGATCACAATATTACACACTCTTTATAATGTTTCGCGCGATTCTGGATTTTTTGGCGAGAAAGGATGGAGAGGTCAGGTAAGGGGCCGCGGAATGAAGGTCGAGTTTGTTTGAAGTGTACTTTAATCTGCCACCGCAAAGAGGGAGCCTGACAAAAAACGCAAAGTGAAACGCGAAGAATAGGGAAAGAGGACGGAGCGCGCGTAACACCGGATGTAACACGGGGATGTTAATAGAGCGCGAAAAAGGAAAAGGAAGGATCGCGACGTAAATCCGCGAAGAAAGAGTACGTCTGCAGCGGGGTAGAAGAGTCTTTGAGTCACCTGGTATGTAACAACGCGTGCCTTTTATCGCGTATACACGTGACCACGTAGCTGCGTTGAATTTACCTCAAAGGTGGCTTCAAGCTCGATTACCGGGACGGAGAAATGAGAAAGGGGCTAAAGGAAGGGCCAGCCAATTTACGGTACGCGTAATTAGGGGCGTTGCAGCGTTGGAAAGGAGGAGGAGGAGGAGGAGGAGGAGGAGTGGATGAAAAAACCCTCGAGGCGGAAAAAATAGCGAGGATTGCTGTCACTTTGCCACCACATTCCTCTCAGCTGTTTGCAGAAAGAATTATTATGCATCGCGAAGGTTGTATATTTTCTCGTCTGCTTAACACGGCGCGCGCGGCACTACCTTCGCAGCCGGAGGGACGTTTTAAAGGATTTTTTCTTCCATTTAGCTTCTACTTAGACATAATTTCCGCCGGTAGCCGAAATCTCTGGAGCTCTTCCATCGAAGTCGCTGAATCAGTTCTCGATTTATGAGCCTCATTAAGAGTCGGAAATTGTTCGCGGTCCTTGCGCGTTGCGTATCGTAGCGAAGCAACAACTTCAACAAACTCGACAACTCAACGATCCACATCCATACAGCACCTTGAGGGGCGAGGGAATATCTGAAATGATTTAAACTCGACGACTGAATGTATCCGGAGAAATCTCCGTTCGAGTTCAGAGTTAGGAAAAGAGGTTATTAGCGTGGGTAATCTTTCCACGCTTGAATCCTTTTAGCTTGACGCAACGCGATCCCGCACATTAATTCGAGATTATAAAATATCAAGCGGACATTGATCGCGCGCGATCTCGTTTATCATTCCCTTTGATAGGATAAAGCACTATTTCTCAATTGCTCCGGCAGATATATACTCTCTTCCGTGCAGCGCTTACGAACGTTTTGAAAACGGGTCGGGGCTGCCGCAACCCTTAAGCGCGTAATCTCCTCGCGCTATGGACCGAGCGCTGAATATCGCAACATCGAGTTATTCGAGTATTGACACGCCTCGCTCTCAATACTCTCGCCACGAGAACGGCTCTCGAGCGCGGCCACAAAGTGGGACAAGAGGCAAAAGCTAGTGTGGCACTGGAGGAGGAGGAGGAGGGTTGGTTAGTCGCTACCGTGTGGCTCGAAAAGGGGAACGTTGTGGAAAAGTTTACCAGCGTGCCGCTGGTAGTGCGACGGAATAAATCGCCGATCCGACAGGTGTAAGTTGTACGATCAGCGCGAACTTTAATCCTCCGCCAGCTCGCAACTTTTCGCAACACAGCGCCATGCACATGCGCATAAATCCACACCGGCACACATACGCACGCACATGGCGCTGATGCATTATCATCCACGTCCGCGACTTTTCACCAGGGAACAACGCTCCCGCATCTCCTCGGAAAATTTCGGCACCGCAACTCAAAGTGTACGGCTTCTCGGAGTCTCTCGCTCGTATCTCGCTCTTTTGTCGGGCAAAACGAGATCTCGCGCGGGGGTGGGGGAGATCCCGTCAATGTGCGTTTGCGTGGCGGAACTCTCACTGGTAGTTGAGATGAAATTTCAACGAGAGACGATACATGGCACACACGTATATATGCGCGCAACATGGGCTTCAAGTCATTTGAATAATGTATGAATAATGACTTGAGGATAATTTCTTCGCAATTCTCAAGTGCACGAAGTAGCGAGGAGGCACGGAGAAGCCGTGCCGTATAAATCCGGCGTAATCGACTGCGTGTGTCGAAGATCCATTTAGCGGTGGAAGCTCAAACGCTCCAATGTTTATCCCCCTTGAATAAAGCACGAGATTGACGAGTTAGGCCCGCACGATCGACTCGATGATACTTTTATAACGACGCGAAATAAGTGCGACGTCAGTGAGTGCGCGCGGATATTTCTAAAGACGCGACTTCTGTCTGATTGCAGCATCGGTCGGAGATGAGGAAGACGACCCTGTTAACCGTCGTAACGGTTTTGCTGTCGGCGACGGTACGCGACGCCGCGGCAGAACTTTACACCGCCTTGGCGGATATGGAGGAGCTGCTAGAGACGGAAGCCGTGCTGATTGACACACTAAACGGTTACATCACAGCGCAGGAGCAACGATTGGCGACACTGAGAAGGTAGGTGTATCGACAAGACTCGTTACCGCGGTGCAACTGGGTCAGGACGCTTTCCGGATGAGTTGTCCTCGCTCTTGGACGACGGACGATGGCATCGACGACAGGTTGTCGATTTTTCGTGAGCGACGCTTTCCCGTCTTCTTCCGTTAATCAAAATACTGCGAGTTCTGTGAGGAAAAAAGCGAGAGAGACAGACAGAGAGAGAGAGAGAGAGAGAGAGAGAGAGAGAGAGAGAGAGAGAGAGAGAGAGAGATCTGCCGACGCTGCTTTCGGCTTGGTTTTCGTCAACTTTTCCTCGATTTCTCCTCGATTTGTTATTCAACGCAGAACTGCGCAGTATATTTTTCAGGGCTCTTAGCTTTTCGATATATTTCTGTCTTACGTAACCTGCACGAAAAGTCGTTTCCCGTTTTCACCGCGGATATGGGAGATTGCAACCCTTTGTGCGGGTTGCTATTGATACATGAACGCTGCCCTGCGCTATGCGTTTGTCAATTTTTTTCTGTTTTTTGTTTTTCGTTTTTAGTGTTTCACCAGGTTCGTATTCGTTCGGTGTACCGATATTTGATCAGCTGCATGTAACGAATCATTTTACAAAAGTAATTTTTAATCGTACCGTTGGGTCCCGTTGGATGCACATTTTTTTTTTTATTGACGCGTAGCTGCAAATAATCGAATTTGAAGCTTTTACGATCACCGGATATCACTTCGGTGACTGTAATTCGACTCCGCTGTATTATTTTGGATCGTGTGAAAGTTGTTATCGGTTCACGCCATAGCCGTTGATTAAACGCTCGTCGGGGAAACACCTTACGCGATATCGCGATGGCTTCGATGTCGAACATGGAAAGTAAATCATCGAGGCACTTACCGTGGCAACATTTTCCTCGTCCCGTCTCTCTCAAAAGCGTCGTTAAAGCGAAGGTGATTAAAGAAGCCGAGAAACATTACGAGAAATCCCGCGATGGCTCTCTTTCTCTCTCCCACTTTTTCCCCCGAATACGATTGTCTTTCTCCTTTTCTTTATCTTCCCGCGGGTGCGATTTGGCATGCCGCCTGATTCGATACCGATGCCTCGCGACCATCATCCCGCGGATAAGGGGAGAAATGGAGCGCGAAGAAATAAGAGTGGAGCGAATACATTAAGATCAAATCCCGATTCCACTGAAATCGGCAACACTCGTACCGAGAAGATAATCGTAAAGCTGAATCCTAAGATGGCCAGCTCCATTTGCGAAGCGTAGTTGAGTGCTTAAGAAGCAGAAAGGAGTAAGGACCGAACTTATGACCGTAATCAGCAGAACAAGCGCCACAATTTGCAGAACAAAGCACGCCGCGGCGCGAGGGATCGCTGTAATTTCGCACAAACTATTTGTAACGCCCAAGTGAAGATTGTCAAATGTGCACGAGCGTCGCGCGTTATTTCGCGCATTTCACTTCGAACCAATTTACCCATCTCTGTCTCTCGCGAACGATCGCGTGGATTTCTTCCGAAGAGGAAAAACGACCTCCCGGACTTTTCAGACATCCCTCCGTCGCGTCTCTCGGCGACGATATCCCGTCGTAGTTAACTCGTTCAGCAAACGCGGAGCGTGATTAAATCCAAAGGACAGTTTAAGCATCTCTCTCCCTCCCTCCCTCCCTCTCTCTCTCTCTCTCTCTCTCTCTCTCTCTCTCTCTCTCTCTCTCTCCCTGTTTGTTACAAACGCAAGCTCGCGAGCGAATCGCACGATACGCTCGGGACAGCGGAAAAGTTTTCAACAACATTTATGTAGGATGCTCCCCGCGCGCGGAATTTAACACACTGCTGTTGACTACGCGGTCGCTCTCGAGAAAATCCTGTCACGGACACTCGGCGCGAGAGCGGCCGGCTCGCAACGATTTGGCTTGGCTCCGCTCTCAATTTCTATGGCCATTCAAAACTCGCCGATTGCAATCAGATCACGCGACGGTCATTCCGCGCGCCGGACCGCGCATATGCGCCGAATTTCGCCTCTCCGCGAATTTCGTGCATTAATTCCGGATTAATCGGCGAGCTCTCGAGCGCGCGCGGGACGGACGGAAGATCCTTTTAGCGAGCTCGTAGATCGTCCGGAGATATTACCGTCGTCGTTGTCGCCGTGTAACAATGGTATCGAAAAAAAGCACGCGCGACTCTGTCACCGGCAATTTCCGCGGCCCCGACACGGTCCTCATTGTTGCGGAAAATATGTGAAAATTGGTTGCGCAAAAAAGCGCCAGTCTTTTCACGGAGTAATTGCGCATTTTCGAGGCGGCTCCGAATTTCGACGAGAACGCAGAAATATTTGGCTTCGATTTGAAATTATTCGGCCCGTCTGGCTTTACAACGTTTCGCCATCTCACAAACAGTCTCCCGGTGATATTTTTACGATCCTCTTGCGAGATGACCGACAATTCCCCGTGAACACGTCGCATTTCGTTGTCGGTGATTCCGCGATTGACTTTGAAGTGTATCACGTTCCGAAAGTGATCGGTCATGTTACGTTATCGGGATGCGAATAAAATTCGCATTACCACTACTCGGATTTTCGAAAGCAGTCCCAGATCGCCCATCGTGGTCTCTGCCTGTCGTAGTTCAATTACCAAAATTCGTGATGAAAATTATTCACGACGAATATATTATCGATTGAACGGTTTCCCTTCTACCTGCCGATATTCGCTCTTTTTCTTTTTCTCTTTTCTTGCCCCCTCTTCCCCAATTCCCTCTTCCTCCCTCTCTTCCTCCCTTCTCCTCCCCTCTCTCTCTCTCTCTCTCTCTCTCTTTCTCTCTTCCCCCCTCTCTCTATCCCGCCAGCACATTCCGTTTCTCGTCCCGTACGTATATGTTCAAAGTTCGGCAATTGCAATCCAGTCACGTGATGGCCATTTCATACGAGTGGAATTCGAAGGCACACAAACACATAGAGACATACATAAAAGTGAACATATAATGGACACATACGCAAACCGATGGAGATAACGTACGTATATGTACGATTCCCGGATTCCCGTTTACATAGTGTAACATATATAGTGTACATCACACGCGCACATCCGCGCACCCACCCACACACACACACACACACACACACACACACACACACACACACGGGAGAGACGCGCCTTCGTGTCCGTCATCTGCGTGAATTCATCAAAAGTGTTTAAATATTACGCACGCGGCTCAAGCGACTGGCTAAATAAGCGTGAAACGCAATTTTATCAAATGGCAAAACGCGTACGGTTTACATCTCATAAAGATTTATTGCTTCATTTCGTGTAATTTAATAAAACCAACATCTCGCATCTCGCGTGCTGCAAATAGTTGTAAATTAATTATACCGCCCTTTTGCGCCAACTTTACAAGGCCGCGCAATTCTGCCCTGCAGAAATAATCGCGCGCTTTCCAAAAGTCCACTCTTACTTTCGTGCTCTGTAAAATGCAATCCATTGTATCCCTCGTTAGAATTTATATTCATAACTCTGGATACATATATATATTCAATTATAAATATATCGGTAAAACTTACTGAAGCAAAATCAATCAATAGCAGCGACTGTTCCCGTCATTGATGCAGTTTGCGAGCGTATATAGTGACATCACACGCAAGGAGCATAGGAGCTGCTGATTTCATCATCGCGAACGCAAAAGGTCGGTTTTGGCACAGCATTTAGCGAATTTATATCTCCTTAATCCTGCTCCCACACAGAGAGAACGATTTAGTTGAATCTGACAAATGCTTATTTGGAATAGTCGAAATAAATTTTTTGATTGATCGAACAAAATTTTGTTTGACGCAACAAAAACATTTCGTTGGAACTAAGCTGCGACAAAATATTTTTGTTGCGTCAAACAAAACTTCGTTCGATCAATCAAAAAAATGTATTTGGACAATTCCAAATAATCATTTGTTAAATTCAACTAAATCGTTCTCTCTGTGCACTAATCGAAATCGGTGAGACACGACGAAACGGAGCAGCAAAGCGTAGATATTTCCACTGAAATCGGTGAATATTCACTGATGATCGGTGAAATATTCCCGGAGGAGAAGATTTGAAATCATGTGACGACGAACGACGAACTAAACGCGCCTTGGTGGAAGACAGCAGAATTTCTGAGTCTTAGAATATGGCTAATGAGAAATCCTGTTTCCTTCGGTCGAACCAATGTTTGCTTCATTCATCGTCACATTAACTCGACTCGTCTTTCCTTTCCGTGCTCTTTTTACTGATTCCGATCGTAGGAATATTTTTGTCGATTCTCTCTCTCTCTCTCTCTCTCTCGAGAGAGAGAGAGAGAGAGAGAGAGTATAGATACTAAACGGCTGTTTATCCCGCTTGCGAAACAGACCTTACGAGGTCGAGGGAGCGTTTTTTCCATCGCGTTCAGCCGATATCAGCCGATATCGCGCAAGTCGCTTCCCGGCGATAAGGCCGACGCGAGACGCGCGTTTTGATCCGTTATCGCCGATCGTACAACGCCGGCGGGACGTTCCTCGCGTACGTAACATCGTCGGAAAGTTCGAGATTTAAGGGAGAGACGAGCCGGATTGAGAGACGCGCGAGCACCGGAAGCGCGCCGTTGCCGGTATTAATAATCGCGATTACGGCGTGGTACGCGGTGACCGTTCAGCCCTCCGCCGGGAGCGCCGGTGTAATTGGCTCCGATAAGATAACAAAGTTCTATCACAGTCGTCCGCCCCGTAACTATTTGCTTCTAATTAACCGTTCGCGCGGCGATCGATTTCTTTTTACCGTCGATTCGAGGGAACACAGTAGGCGAGCGCAAAAAGCGAAAGCCTCCCGCCGCCTTTCCCGCTCGAGTATTCTCATTCAGCCGATACTCGTTATCTTTAATTAATTGCCAACGGCAGTCGTTGATTTTTATCGCCGTAGGCATGACCGCCGCGTCTCTACAGATATTCGTGGACAGTATCATAAACATAGAAGAGAGAGAGAGAGAGAGAGAGAGAGAGAGAGAGAGCGAAAGGGGGGAGGGGGAG